TTCTAATTTTGATTTGAATCTGGTTTGTATACTGATTTTTGATTTTGTTTTAAATCACAAAACTGATTACTATCTAACTAATTTGTATTTTGGGTTTTTTTAACTGTATTTATTCACTTACAATTTTTTGAAAGAATGCGTAGATCCTCTTCTCAGTATGCATCAGTAAAAATTGTGTATCCAATTTTTTTCCTATATAGCAAATGTAATGTAATTAAAAATTTATGTTCATTTGTTTGTGATAACTTTGATTCTATTCTGTATTCATTAAATTAGTAGGAATTTCATTTTATTTCAATTAATTGTATCAGAGTTGGCGTGTTGTCCAAAGCTGTATTTGTAAACAAAAAAAAAAGGGAACAATTACTGTACAATTGATTATCGATTATTGCGGACTTTCTTGCACTAAATGTAAATAAATAAATATGTACATATATAAATAAATAAGTATGTATATTATTATTTATAGAAATATACATGTAAATAAATATGTACATGTGTTACAAGTTGATAACAACTTATAAATAAAGTTTTTATTATGTATCATATTTTGTAATACCTTTTAAATATCTTTTCTATATATATTTTTTTCAAAATAATTAACAACATAATTATCATTTTGTACATTTACTCATTTTAAATTCTATTAATTAAAAATATTCGTGTAACCGCATAAATAATCCACTAGTTCTATCTAGAAAGGGAAAAAGAATACCATTCTGAAAAAAAAAAAAAAAAAAAAAAAAAAAAAAAAAAACCCCCCCCCTTTTTTTTTTTAAAAAAAAGGGGGAAGCCAGCCGCTCTTTTCATTTCATAAATAGGAGGAAGCAATAAATTTTTTTCGTGGAAACATCATGTTTAAAATTAAACAAAACATGTCATATTTCTTGCATCACGACAAACTTCTAAGTTCTAAACTCTACTTTTTAAGGTTATCAAAAAAATTGTACTTACAATTTGATAAAATGGTATCAAATATTTCAAATTCATACTTACATTTTTGGTCGGAATCTTGCTTCTGATACTTTGTGGTTTCGGTGTGTTGGTTGTGTTGGTGGGATTTTGGTGGAAATTTGGGAGTTTTATCTCTCTTCCCTTCTGGATTCTTCTATTGTTTCTGTTTGCTGCTGATGGAAATTTGGGAGTTTTATCTCTCTTCCCTTCTAGATTCTTCTATTGTTTCTGTTTGCTGCTGATGCTTTATTGTTTCTGTTTGTGTTGGTTGTTTCTGTTTGTTTCTGGATCTTGCTTTATTGATCCTTAGTTATCTTTGTGGTTTAGGCAGTTTCCGGCTCTATTTCTTGATTGCGTTTTTTTTTCTTTGGCCGCTTTATCTAATACACTTTTTGTTTAGAGTTGTTTTTAATTTTTCCTCTTTTTTTCTCCCGGGGTTTTTTTGTCTACTGGTTTCTTTGTTGTAGTATTTTCTTTGTTAATGCTTGCTGCTAGGTTCAAATTTTTGGCGGGTTCCTTGTCCTCTCCTTTGATGAATTTATTTCTACAGGTACTCTATTTCTGCCAGTGAACCTTCTGTTGACTGATTCAATGGCGCGTATTGGTAATTTTTATTTTTTTTCCCTTCATTTATTGCATTGATGATCTGGTCTGCCTATAGTTGTCCTTTGTTTTTTTAGGTTGATGATTTGTTCTGCTTTTCTTACGGACTTATTAAATGAATCAGTGATTTTTTTCCTCTGTATTCTGAAATCTGGGCCATTCGTGTCGCATCTCGTATTCGTGTCGTGTTTTGATCGTTTTTTTTTAAATTTACAGTTAATTCGAATACGAACCGTGACACGAAATTTTTTAAAAACCGCAACATGAACACGACACGAAAATGAACCGTGACACGAAATTGACCCGTAAACCCGAAATTGACACGAAAATTGTATATTTTTATTTAGTTTTTTACATATTAGAAATAATTTAAAATTCATAACACACTAAAATATAATAACATCCATTGAAATTAAACAAATAATCAAATAAGATTTTGAGTATAACTATCATGACATCATAAGTTCATAATAAAATCATAAATATGTAATGAAAAATATATGTATTTTTTAATTTTTTACGAGTTTCGTGTCGTGTTTGGATTAGGCGGGTCTAACCTGAAATTGATCCGTGTTTTTCGTGTCAATTTCAGATCAACCTAATTCTGACCCGAGCATCTTTTTTCTCAACCCTAACCCGTGAAATTCATGTCATTTTCGAGTTGTGTTATCATGTCGTAACTCATATTGCCGGCCTTAATTCTTATCATACATAATCTAGAGTCCTTGGCGGTTTAAGGAAAAGAAAATATATATATTCCTATTTTTTCCCCTTTTTCTTATTTTTCTTGCTCCTGATTTTTCTTTTTTCTGAGGAAATTATTGTAAAATTATTTCTAGGGCTCTAGCAATATTCCAGAGATGTATGATGGCATTATTCACTGACATGGTAAAGAAGACTTTGGAAGTGTTTATGAATGATTTTTCCATCTTTGGTGTGATAAGTGCACGAATTTGCACTTTTAATATTCATAATTGTCAAATTATTTTATCAAATTTGTGATTTTAATTTCAAATATTCTTAAATCTAGAGGATTTAATTTTAATTAGATTTATTTTATTTTTCAGGTTTTTAAAGAAAATAATTGGATTTGTGCTAGTTTACCAAGCAAAACCCAAAAGTTAAGCCCAAGAAAAGCTCAATTCGGCCCAAAGCCCATCAACCGAGAAGCCGCAAGCCGAGCCAAGAAGCCGCGAGCCAACCCAGCGCCACGTGTCGACCACTGCCGCACCGCAGTCTGTGGGACCCAGCTGTCCCCGCGGATACGCGTGCTTGGCGCGCACGGATCCTCTCCCCGGGCGAGTCTCCTCCACGCGCGCGTCACCCGGATTTCCTCTTTCTTCTGCGTGGGTCCTGCGTTCTAGCTTCCCTCCAGCCAGGTCTCGCCACGCGTCCTAGTGGGGTCTAGCTGCTCCCCCGCGTACGTGCGCTTTGCACGCACGTTCCCTCCCCGTGCGAGTTCTCCTCCACGCGCGCGTCCAGTCTCCCTCCGCGTGGTCCAACTGTGCACCACGTCTCTCCTGCGCGCGAATCACGTTGCGACACGTGTCCCACTCTTCAGAAACGTGATGGTTTTTCTCCCTCGATTAAGCCTTGTAACTTCTTAATTAGGATCTAATTTTTAGCTTTTTAGCATTCTCAAAACTCTATAAATAAAGCTATTGTCAAGGTGATTAGGAGTTAGTTTTGAGGAGTCTAAATTCTCACACATTTTCTATTATTTTCTTGTTCTTACTCTCATACTTTCTTTTTAGAATTTTATGAAAATTATGTGCAAGTTAGGCTAGAGTATTTAGGTGAAGTTAGAGATGATCCTGTATGTGTAGTGAACTTATTTAGATTTTGATTCTCCAATGGTTTGTAAGTTTTATACATTTGAGTAAATAATTTTCTTTTATCATATTTTTTATTCTTATCAATATATTTTATTGTCAACTTTCATATAAATTTAGTCAAACTCTTTTTATGTGATTGTTGCATTATATTATATATTGATAGGTATTATTTTATGAGTAGTTTTTTACTACAATATTACTAACGGTATATTATCGCTCTTAGATTTCTCATAAGATAATTTTTCTTAATTCTAAACGTTAGAATTTTATTTACTTGAATACATTTTTAATTCATATGTTCTTCAAATATTTATTTTCCGATTGATTGTTTGGGATGTGAAACTTTCAATTGAGTCAATTTATGAATCAAAATCCAATTAGGTGAACAAAGCATATGGAGGATTCTCAAAGCTTTACCACTTTTTATTATTGAATTTTCTCCATTTTAAATTGTTCAAAAATCATCAAAAACACTCATTCTTTTTCTTTGTTTGATTGCTTATTTTCCTAACGCTTTTTATTTACTAGTCATTTATTGTTCAATTTAACACTTCCTCGTGGGATCGACCGTTCAAATTGTACTACAATTGACCGCTTATTTTTGTACACGTTTGGGCGTAATCAAATTTTAGCGCCGTTGCTGGGGAGGTGCGTCAACAAGATTGTTCAGTAGATAATTAGCCAAAAAAGTAGGTACTATTCATCTTTTATTTATTTATTTTTTGTTTCAAAAAAAAAAAAACTTTAGTTTTCGTGACTTGATTGTTAGTGTGTATATATATATATTTATAAAAAAAAAAAACTTTTGTTGCTCGTTCTCAAGTTCTTAATTTTAAAAGTGTATTCCTACTTTCTTACTTTTTTTTTTCACGTTCACACGTTCTTCAATTTTTTTTTTTGTTGTAGTCTTGTTAAAAAAAAAAAATTTTAAAAAAATCTCACACTTTTAGAATTGGTTTTATTCTTAATTTTTTTCTCTTTTTAATTTTAAAATTAATTGTTATTTGATTTTGTAATCTTTTATTTTTGGTAAATTAGGATTTTATTTTGTTTCCTCATATGTATATTTTAATTGTTGCCTTATTTAATTTTTCCTTTTATAGTTTCATTAACTCTTAGGATTATAACTAGGATTGTAATTAATTGACTAATTTAGATTCCTAA